TTTCTTTCTTTCTTTCTTTCTTCTTTCTTTCTTTCTTTCTTTCTCTCTCTCTTTCATGAATAAATAAATGAAATCTTTTTTTTTAAAAAATAAGGTGTTCCTTATTCCAAAAAAGTGCTTTTGAGTATAGCTAAAATATTTGTGTTCACTTATTCAACATTTATTGATCTCTAGGTACCAAGAATAGCAGTTAGGCAATGGATGTACAGTAGTAAACAAAAAGGGCATTACTGTTGTCCTCAGGGGCTTGTAACTTAGCTTTTTTATTTTATATTGCCCATATTGTTATGGATACTTGCTCTAGAATTGCTTTGTTTTTAAAAATACCTTTGATGTGGTTAAGACTATAGTTAGGTTGATACTAAAAAACCTCAAACCTACACTAATTTGCTAATTAGTGTAATTAGCTAATTTGCTAATTAGAGGAATGGCATGAACCATGAAATACAAGCATATAGTTAACTGGAAGGCAACAGAAACTATTTTACTTATACATTAGAAGCACATATCAGTTATGTCTCACAGTCTTGTGTTTTACAATTACTTTATATTAAAATGTTATGAGATCCAGTTCTTTTCAAAAACTGGTGCTGGGTCAACTGGATAACTATATGGAATAACATGCATCTTGAACCTCCACTCCACACCATGCACAAAAATCAATTCCAGATGGACTATAAACCTAAAGGTGAATGGTAAAACAATAAAACTTTTAGAAGAAAACAGAAAAAGATCTTTATAATTTCAGGGATAGGCAAAAACTTCTTAAATGGGACATTAGGAAGAACCACCACAAAAGGAAAATTGGATTTTATTAAAAGCATGAATTTCTATTTGTCAAAAGACACAACTAAGAGTAAACAGAAAAGTCACAAAGCAGAAGATACTTGCACTACATATATTTGATAGAGGACTCATACTCAGAATATACAAAGAACTTCTACAAATCAGTAAGAAGTAGACAATAGAAAAAATGGCAAAAAGACCCTTCACAGGTTATTCACAAAAGAGGATATTCAAATGGACAATGATATATAAAAAGGGATTCGATTTTGTAAGTCAAATAAAAAATGCAGATTAAAACTACAATGTAAAACTGCATGCCCACTGGAATGGCTAAAAAGGAAGAGACAGATAATACCAAGTGATAACAAGGATATAGAGCAACAAGAATTCTTCTACACTGCTAGCTGAAGTATAAAACTCTTGTTTTGGAAAACTGCTTCACAGTATCTAATAAAACTGATCATATGGAGACGACCTGATTTAAGCAATTCCACTCCTAGGTAAACACCTTAACAGAAATGTGTGCATATTCACCAAAAGACAAGTAAACAAATGTTCATGTTAGCACAATTTGTAACAGTAAAATTGGAATCAACTCATATGTCTTTTCAATAATAAAATGTATAAATTATGGTATATTTGTATAATGGCAGACTACACAGCAAAGGGAATGAAGAACCACAACTACATATAACATGGATAAATTTCATAGACGTAATTGAACTAAAGAAGGCAGACAGGTTGAATTTATCTGTGGTGTTAGAGGTTGTGACAGTGGTTATCCTTTGAGAGGGAGGAGGGAGATGACTGAAAGAACAGTAAGGGGTAGAATCTCTTCTGAAGTACCTACTGGTCAAGTTTTCTTTCTTGATCTGGGTATTACAGAGATGAATTTATTTTGTGAAAGCCAACAATAAGTACACTTAAGAATTCTGTGAATGTATGTTATACTTCAATAAAACATCTATTTGAAAAGTGCTATGAGATCCAAATATATTTTCCATAATTCAAATTCTCTCTCAAACTCTCTACATATAGTACAGAGGAAGGATTAAAGTCAAATACTTGAAAATGAGATCTGGGGCACCTGTCTGGCTTGGTTGGTAGAGCATGTAACTCTTGATCTCAGGGCTGTGAGTTCAAGCCCCACACTGGGCATGGAGCCTACTTTAAACAAACAAACAAACAAACAAACAAAGAAACAAAAACAAAACATGATCTAATCCTAGATGGGGAAAGGAATATTATGAGGTCATTTTCATGGCACAGGATTCTAACAGGAAGAAAAAAATGGTATACCTAACTCATATCTAGGTTAATAGGAACTGCATATTTGATTTTCCTCTAAGGCTTTAGACTATATATTCCCAGGTTTTTCAAAGGCTCTCCCTATGACGAGGTATCTGATCCATCACTAGAGTTGGAATTCCATGTGCTCTCCAACTGTGTTGAAGTCACGGTGCAATACTCAAGGCACAATCTTAACAGGCCCAAAGCACAGTATCTAACCCAAATACCATCTTTACATGAATGCAGTCTAAGAATTCCTAGCAAACTGTTAGTTCATTTGGAGGTTAACTAAACTGCCAGATCTTTTTCATATTATATGTCAGATTTTCTACATCTTGTAATTTTTCAAATTAAATTTAAAAATATTAAATACAGGAAGTGCCTAACTGGCTCAGTTAGAAGAGTATACCACTCTTGATCCCAGGATCGTGAGTTTGAGCCCCATGATGGGTGTAGAAATTACTAAAAAAAAAAAAAAAAGTAAATACAGCATTTAATATTTTCCTCGCTAAAATTTTAAAAAGGATTTTATTTGACAGAGCACAAGCAAGGGAGAGCAGCAGGCTGAGGGAGAGGGAGAAGCAAGCTCCCCACTGAGCAAGGAGGCCTATGCGGGGCTTGATTCTAAGATCCTGAGAGATCATGACCTGAGCTGAAGGTAGATGCTTAACTGAGCAACCCAGGCACCCCTTCCTGGTAAATTTAATCTTGTTGGCTTTCACTTATCACTTAAGCCTACAAAGGGCATGTTGACCCTGTAGGTAACTCTCTTAGCTTTGCGTCATCTATACATATAATTTATATTTCTTCTATGTATTTATTATCCAAATCATTATTTTAAAAGTATGCTGATCCCAAACTATCAAAGATAGACATCTAGAAGGTGATGCCAGAGTCTTGAAGCATTTCCCAAAGTATGTTTCATGTAATACAACCCAAAATGAGTGAGGGAGGTGTTTTGTGATGAGTTTGGGAAATGCTGGGTTTACCACAGAATTTCTCTCCTCACAATTATAATACATGTGTTAAGTCTCTAAGAGGGAATTAGAGTATAAAGTGTTTCCCAAACTTGGCTGACCTAGAAACGCCTTTAAAGAAATCTTTTCTCATCATGAGAAATCAGTGTTCCTGAAAAGACTCTGAGGAATACTGCTCTGGGGTAATAATGATACAACAGCCAACTTCTTTGGGCAAATGATTCTTTTATTTTTATTTATTTATCTTTTTAAAGTAGGCTCCAAGTCCAATGTGAGGTTTGAACTCATGACCCTGAGATTAAGAGTTACATGCTCTACCAACTAAGCTAGCCAGTTATCCCAAGAAATTGATTTATAAAAAGCTTCAAATCCACCTAAATGAATTATCATTCAATCTACCTAAACTTCTTCATATTGTCAAAAGATTATCAAGATATTGTTGAATGTAGCAATGATATATCTTATTAGTCTAACTTACCACAAAGTGAAAAAGAATCAGGTAAAGAGACTTTATAGTATTAGGATTAGTAAACCATGGATACTCAATCTACTTTGAAAATTATGTTCAGTAAAAGCTATAAAGGTGAGATATATATTTGGAAGTTTCCCACAAAATTGGCCACATCTTAAACATTTTGGTCATTAAAAACGAATCTTCAGTTATATGAAAACTAAAATTCAGTGTTATGGCCAGCTCATTTTCTGGTGATATTTAGTAAAGTATTCCTGTGTATTAAGAATGAATGACAGGGGTACGTGGGTGGCTCAGGTGGTTAAGCATCTGCCTTCGGCTCAGGTTATGATCCTGGGGTCCTGGGATAGAGGCCCTGCTGAGCAGGGAGCTTGCTTCTCCCTCTCCTTCTCCCTCTGCCTGCCACCCTCCCCTCTTCTGCTCTCTCTCAAATAAATAAATACAATCTTAAAAAAAGAGAGAGAGAGAGAGAGAAGAATGAGATATAGGGGCACCAACCTGGCTGAGTCATAGAGCATTTGACTCTTGATCTTGGGGTCATGAGTTCAAGCTCAATGCTGGGCATAAGCTTACTTAAAAAAAATAAGTCATAAAAAATTATCACTGAATTCTGTAGACTATTAAAAGCATTTTTTTATAAAAAGTATTTTAATAAAAATAGTTTGACATTTTTAAGGTTTTCATACCTGAAAATTTTCATACCTTCAAAAGAATTTTACATATTCATCTGAAACCCATCTGAAAGGTTATATTTAACAAAATAGATGGTCTTTGTAAAAGAAAATATATATTTTTTAAGTATACCAAAGTCTTTCTTTCAGGGAATTAATTTTAGAACTGGCGGTAGGAGGATGATAGGGTTTACTTATTAAAAAAAAAGTTTATACACACAAATCATATTAAAACAGCACATTTAAAACTGATTGAGACAGTATATTCATATAATGCAATACTAGTACCACTAGTCCTCTTCACTGTCTATGGGGTAGAAGACCTCAAGATATTGTTGAGATAACTGGCTTCCATTAGCAAGCATGTGATTGGCAGGATGATAAAGTCTTTTCACTCACAGGTCAGCTATTTCCTTTTCTTTAAAAGAGGGCAATTCTGATGATCCATCTTTTAGCTACAGTCTCTCATTGAGTCCCAATTCTCTTGCCTTCAGCTTTGATATGGTTCTAACTTTCCTCTTGTATCAGCTCATACTTGTCATCAAGTCCTCTATTCAGAACAGCAAATATCAGGAGTTTGACCTCAGGGCAAAGTCCGGGTGGGCAGGTAAAATTTGACCACTGGACCTACTTCCTAATCTTTCATACCCAGCAATTCATGAAGCAGTATCAAATTCAAACTAAAAAACAGAAGCATGACCCCTCATAAGTACTATGAAAAGGGCTCTTTTGCCTTTCTAAGTATACTTGAAAAGAACTGTCAGCCACCTTATTAAGACAGAAATGGATCACAGACTAGAAAAAAAGAAGAAAAAGTGCAGAAACCGTAAATAAAAGTGTTAGTACCCTATGTTTGGTGATATAGTACTTCGTATAAAAATAGTAAAATAATATTCTATGAAATACCTTTATGAAGTCAGGAACATTAACACACCAACTGAAACTTTAAGGCATCTTTATTTAAATAACACTGATATCTGATGCAAAAAACTTCTATCACCTCATATGATACTTTAAAGACCGATTTTATTTTTAGTCAATCCCCATACTTGGCATTTCACCACTTAACTGTTTATAAATTGAGAAACAAATGTATGTGGAAAATAATTATCTTTGTCAAGTTATTAAACCCAAGCCTCTAAAATCATAAAATTCAAGTGTGTCTCAGTGGCCCAGCAGCTAATGATAAAAATTAGTTGCATCTTCTTGTTTCAGAATGCAAAAGTACAAAAAGAGTATGATTAAATTTTAACACTAATTAGGAAAAACTTTTAAGCCTCTTTAAAAAACTAGAATAATTAATACATTAAAAATTAACTTATTAAAATTTATCCACACACACTGAATACTAAATACCATACTTTAAAACTGTGTTTTACATTAAGTAGGTATTTCTACATAAATCTTTAATAGCTCTACATGTGTCGTAATAGATTTCAGAATTGTAAAGGTTTCTAAAAGATTTTTTTGTATTCACTTTAAAGTTTCTTTAAAAATTACATTGATGTGGAAAAGCCAACCAGGATTTAAAACCTGTAAGTGCACATACATGAAAAGTAAATTCAACAAAAAAGACTTGAGATGTTTATTAATAATTGTAAGTGTGTCTTAGTAACAATTCCCTAGTGAGGGAATGCTTTACATATGCTTGTAAAGAGGCCTTCTTTGGTGTCAAATGATGATTGTCTTTGAAGGAAGATAGTACCTAGAATCAGAGTTTTAATCTGCATTGAACTAACCTATTTGAACAAATCAAAGAACAGAATCTTTCCCCACAGTTTCAAATGTGGTCCTATTCACAATCTTACAGAGTGATTGTTAATACCATACAAATTCATACAAAAGAGAAAATATCATGTAATAAATTTCAAATTTTCTAAGAACAGATTATTTGTATATAATGGGAGATATCCTCAAATTACATACTTGGCTTGGAGAACATATTCATGTCCCTGTAACAGGGAAACTTATAAGTGGCTATAACCTAATTGAAAGATGAACATACAACCAAGCCTGTTTCCAGTCTGCTAAAGGACTCCATTTTCTGTATTAGATCTGTATTAGATCATCTTGTTTAGGGCAATAAGATCATCTTGTTTAGGGCAATAAGACCACAACAGAGAGAGCTCCTTCTAAAGCAAATAGATCTTCCTTCAATAGAAAGAACATCTTCTGGTAAGCTGGAATAAAAGTTCAGAGTCCACGTTCTTGATTTTCTATCTTCTCCAATTTAGTTAAGGGTAAACAGAAATAAATATTAATATATTTTATATGTTCAGTACTTTACAGGTAAAAAACAGGAGACAGGAGTAATTTTTTCAGTTTCCTTCTAAACTTGACCTGAAGGTATATATACCATTTATATCCACATGACTCACTGTCCATAAGTACTTCTACCCAGTTCATAGGGGTTTTGTTTCTCTAAAAGAGTTTTAAGCTCCACGAGAACAAAACGCTTACATTACTTTGGTGTCTGTTTCAACTACATTACTCCCTTCCAAATAAGCAGTAATTAGTAGTTCATACATATGTATAGAAAACTGGTTTGGAATTAAAGCAAAAACAGCTATATTCTCAAACATTTACTGAAATCAGAACTTCTTAATTACTCAAATTGGTCCTGCTCTAAATATCACCGTGTAGTCTATTTACATCAACAGTAGAGCCCCATCTTCATCATCTCCATCCCCAAAGGGGATGGGACCATTAATAGACTAATACTACAGTGGCTTTGTTTTTTTCTTAAGATTTTATTTTTAGGTAATCTCTATACCCAATGTGAAACACGAACTCACAACCTGGAGATCAAGCGTCACATTGGCTCTTTGTTCTCTCTAGCCAATGCTCTCACATTGGCTTTTTGGTTCTTGCCAAGGGCGGCAGCCATCCTGTTGTTAGTTCTGTACCCCTGAGTCCTCTACCTTGGACCTACCCCTCCTCCATATTCTTGTGCCTCCCAACTCTATTAAATTTCTTAATTCCAGGTTAGGAAAGAAAAGGGAGGGGGAAAGAAGAAATGAATAAGAAGGGAAAAAAATAAATAAATAAAAGAAAATAAATAAAAAAATAATAAAAAAAATTAAAAAAAGAAGGAAAAAATATGGGGGAGATAGAAAAAGGGTACAAAGTAAATAAAGAAAATGACAATACAGTAGCGATGTCAAAGAGTAGTAAATTGATTAAGAGATTAAAAAATTATCATTATTTGCTACTCTACTTAGACTTACATGACCAGAAAAGAATTATATAAATGTATAATTACCTTTTTAAAAGTAGTTTGGTCCGGGCAGCCCAGGTGGCTCAGCGGTTTAGCACCACCTTCAGCCCAGGGCCTGATCCTGGAGACCTAGGATCGAGTCCCATGTCAGGCTTCCTGCATGGAGCCTGCTTTTCCCTCTGCCTGTGTCTCTGCACCTCTCTCTCTCTCTCTCTCTCTCTCTCTCTCTCTCTCTCTCCCTCTCTCTCTGTGTCTCTCATGAATAAATAAATAAAATCTTTAAAAAAAAAGTAGTTTGGTCCTTTTTTATGGAAGCATACAGAAAATTTATTTTATTTTTTAAGATTTTATTTATTTATTTGACACACAGAGAGAACACACACACACAAGCGAGGGGAGCAGCAGGAAGAAGGAGAGGAGGGAGAAGCAGGTTCCCAGCTGAGCACGGAGCCTGATGTGGGGCTCCATCCCAGGACCCCAGGATCATGACCCAAGCTGAAGGCAGGTACCCAATTGACTGAGCCACCCAGGCACCCCCAGAAAATTTATTTAAAAAGCATTCTTTACCACAATTTTAAGCAAGGGGCTCCTTTCTAGGTTGTAATAATTTACTTTTAACTTGGGTCCTGACACTAATTATACCAACAAATTTTTATATAGGACCATGAAATCATTAAGAAATAACTCAAACTTCAAGTGTCATTAAACCAAAGTAAAAAGTTAGTCACATAGTTAGCAGGTAATGAATAAGTTAAATATTTACTGATGAGAGTGCTGCATGAGTTTGAGACACCAAATAGAGATACAAGTTCAGAGAGAAAGGCCAAACATATGGTTATCAAAGCACCACTTTCGAAAGATTGTTTCAAGACAAACAAGCATTCCTATAGGATTTAAAAAAAAAAAAAAGGCAACAGTAGAAGGCAAAAACTGAGAACTACATTATTACATCTTACTTGTCTGAGGTCAATGAATGCTAGCTGTAGGGTATCCCCCTGGAATCCTGGCACAGGCTCAGAGCTGGCAAACACTGTAAGAAAAAAAAAACACAAGAATAAAAACAAGACTGCAAAATATACAAGGATTTAACCACTGAATTAATTTCTACTCATTACAAATGTATTATATTTACATGTAACCATTTCAAATGAAGACTATTTATGAGCTTCAACTTCCACTACTGAGAATGTTCTCCACACCCATTACCACAAGTATTTTAATAATTTTAAACTTCTAATCTACCATTTAATCACTGTAATCCTTAATTACAATAAATTTAGAATGGTTATTCCACAAAAAGTTCAAGAGTAGTAATATACTTCAATCAAGAAAAGTTTTCTGACTCTATTTAGCCTTAGGTGAATGATTATAGAAACATTTTGAAACTATACCAATTCCATGGCTGTCAACATATTTCAAAACTTCTCCTTTGTTACAGAACATGCTTATGAAAATCCTACCTCTAGCTAAAAGCTATAATGGGCAGACACATAAAAAGTCAGTGTTACATGCAGACAAAGGTTCTAAGTAGCAGAATGAGGATGATGCAAGAATGCCTGTTCATGTCAAACTTCTAATAATTTTTTTCCACAAAGGAATCCTGCCTTTTGAAAAACTAAAAATATTTTAAGATTGAAAAATATATCAAAAGATTTTTTTCCTTTTTTCTTTTTTTAAAAGATTATTTATTTTAGAGAGAAGGGAAAGGGCAGAGGAAAAGGGAGAGAAAAATTCTAAGCAGACTCCATACTGATTGCAGAGCCCAGTGCCAGATGGATCTCACAACCCAGAGATCACTACCTGAGCTGAAAGCAAGAGTCAGACACTTAACTGACCATACCACCCAGGTGCCCCTCAAAAGATTTTTTTCAATAATTTTTTGTACATAAAATATTTTAATACTAGTACCTAGCTTGTTTAGTTAAGTTGAAGATAATTCCACTATTGGTTATTTTGAAGACAAAAGACCTTTGACTCACAAAAAAGACCTATCATTTTACATGCAAGCTTCTCTGATAAAAGTCAGAATGTTTGCTAGCATTCTCCCTCTCCATTAATATCTGAGTTTTTCTACAAAACATTACAGATTTTCCACTTAAGAATTTATCTAAGTGAGTATTTTAGAAACCATTTAAATTTGCCACATAGGGGCTCCTGAGTGGATCAGTCAGTTAAGCGTCTGCCTTCAGGGGGATTGAGCTGTTCAGCAGTGAGTCTGCTTCTCCTTCTCACGCTGTGTGCTCGCTCTGCCTCTCTCTCTCTCTCTCTCTCAAATAAATAAATAAATAAATAAATAAATAAATAAATAAATAAATCTTAAAAAAAAAAAAAGAATTAGGGCACCTGAGTGGCTCAGTGGTTGAGCGTTTGCCTTTGGTTCAGGGTGTGGTCCCAGGGTCCCGGGATCGAGTCCTGCATGAGGCTCCCCAGAGGGAGCCTGCTTCTTCCTCTGCTTATGTCTCTGCCTCTCTCTGTGTGTCTCATGAATAAATAGATAAACAAATAAAATCTTAAAAAAATATTTTTGTTATTTCAAGAAATATATATATAGGGTACTTATTTAAGATTTTATTCATTCATTAGAGAGAGCATGCAAGAAGGGGGAGTGGTAGAGGAAGAGGGAGAAGCAGGCTTTCTGCTGAGCAGGGAGCCCAACATGGGGCTCAATCCCAGAACCCTGGGATCATGACCTGAGCTGAAGGCAGACACTTAACTGACTGAGCCACCCAGGTGGCCCTATTTTTTAAATTTTAAAAAAGATTTTATTTATTTGTTTGATAGAGCAAGAGAGCACAAGCAGAGGGAGCAGCAAAGAGAGAGGCGGACTCCCCAATGGGCAGGGAGCATACCATGGGGCTTAATCCCAGGATCCTGGGATCATGACCTGAGCCGAAGGCAGACATTTAGCCAACTGAGCCACCTAGGAGCCCCAACAAAAATAATTCTTAAGTTTAGTGCATTATATGTGAAATACAGTCTAGAAAGACTCAATCATATATTTAAATACATGAAAGTCTAGCACAGCTTAATTTATCTGGCATTTTTAGGGAATAAAGATGTCAAAAGTTTTTGTTGTTGCTGTTGTTTTAGGATAATGTTAATTTTATTTATTTATTTAAAAAGATTTTATTTATTTATTCATGAAAGACACAGGAAGAGACATAGGCAGAGGGAGAAGCAGGCTCCATGCAGGGAGCCTGATGCGGGACCTGATCCCAAGACCCCAGGATCATGCCCTGAGCCAAAGGCAGATGTTTAACCACTGAGCCACCCAGGTGTCCCAAGATAATGTTAATTTTTCAAATCTTAAGCATTTTTGATAGAATTTTAAACTGTAACATAATACTTCCTTTGTTTTTTTAACTCTGAGCATTCTAAATATTATTTCTTTCTAAATATTATTTAAATGTTTCTTAATTCTCTGGATTACTGTTAAGAATGCTTTTATTCTATACAATATAATAAGTTCTGAAAGCTGCCATATTATTAAGGTCCCTTTTTTTTTACATTAATTAGTTCAGAAAGCTGTGTTGTTTGAGTTCTTGTGTCTAGCTCATAATTTTTCTGCCTTCTCTCGCAGTTTTTTAAAAAAGATTTTATTTATTTATTCATGAGACACACACAGAGAGAGGTAGAGACACAGGCAGAGAGAAACAGGCTCCCTGCAAGGAACCTGATGCAGGACTTGATTCCAGGACCCTGGGATCACAACCCAAGCCAAAGGCAGATGCTCAACCGCTCAGCCACCCAGGCATCCCTCTCTTGCAGTTTTAATATAAATTCTTACTCCCTGCTCTCTCATCTTATTAATATGCTGCCTTTAATAGTCTTGAGCTGGCCAGCCAGCTAAGTGACCACTAGAATTGTGTCTAAAGAGCAAATACAGAATGAGCAAGAGCCTCTCCCACAAATAAGGTGAAAGTGTTTTATATATGCTTTTGAGTATATGCTCTTTTCAAGTACGAATAACCTTTTTGTTACTCGGAGGTATACCATTTTTTTCCTTTACTTCTTGGTTTTCTGCTATATACTGCATACATAGTTATGGCCACTAAGTGACTTCGCTTACTTTTCTCAGGCTCCCTTTTCTAGAAAACTAAGATTTATTGAGCAAATCTACCCATGACTTTTCATTATTTAGTATAATTCACTCACATGATTGTCTTTTCATACGATGAAAAGTGGCATCCTTTCATATTGTGGTGATCCCATCACCCCCAACCATGTCCCCTTAATTGAAACATAATAAGCAAAATTCTAATAACCTGTTGTAAGTGAAGGTAGACCGCCCGGCATATTGTTGGCTTTCTTGGCCCCAGTCTCAGGCCACTGTTTCCAAGTAACAGTTAACCATGAATCCCTAGTGGTCTCCAACCAAGGTTATAAATGCCGGCTCAGTTTGTATCATCTCCACATATACACATCTATACACAGAAAATAAACACTTCCTCTAACACAGGGACACTTACACACTTACTTTATATTTATACATCAGTCATAAAATGAAGCTCAATTTCGATTACACTTGCAATCGTTATTTACTTTATCTCCCAGAATTTTTTCTTTTTTTTTTTTTAAATTTTTTTTAATTTTTTATTTATTTATGATAGTCACAGAGAGAGAGAGAGAGAGGCAGAGACACAGGCAGAGGGAGAAGCAGGCTCCATGCACCGGGAGCCCGACGTGGGATTCGATCCCGGGTCTCCAGGATCGCACCCTGGGCCAAAGGCAAGCGCCAAACCGCTGCGCCACCCAGGTATCCCCTCCCAGAATTTTTTCTGCACTGAAAATCATCTTTCATTTTCTTTTCTCTCAGTTCCTGTTTAATGTATTATAGTTTAAGCTCCATTACTTGGGATTAAACCATGGAGCTTAGTGTCAAAATTATGAGTTTCATAAATTTATATGGCACTTTACAGTTTACAAAGCAGTTTCTCACACACCACCTACTTTGATCATCACAATAACTTATTTTAATAAATAGGACATGGAGATGATGGGTCATAAAATCTTGTGTCTAGAAGAGATACTCTTTGAAATACCTCCACCAGTCCCCTGAAAACTTGGCTTAAAAGTCACTTAGTCCTTCATCTTATATTTTAGAAGAATTAAAAGTGAAATAACTTGTCCAGGATCATATAGTTAATTCAGATCTCCTAGCATTCACGCAGTTAACCTAGAATCTGATTATGTATTTAGTCTCTTACCTTTTATCTTATCTCTCACAAGAACCTAACCAATATGGAAATACAATTCACTCATTTATAGTTCCTAGGGCTTTTTCTCAAATTTTTTTTAGGGAAAGGAGACAATTTAGCAATCTGATAATCATCTGGTACTGAGGACATTTCTAATTATATACTATTCAATTTGTTCAAGAGCTTCATATTTTTTCCCTTACTTCTTTAAAACCAAAACTCAGTCAATCCTGTTGTTCCTATCTTCTGATACATCTTCAGCCTGAATCTGTCTCTACCTTTGTTCAAACTATTATCATTTCTTGCTTGGATGATAAAACACAGTCCTATCTGGTCTCCCTGCTTCCTCTCCATCCACTACTCCTAATGTGATTTATGTAAGATGTATATGTAGTTTGTGCGACATCATAGTTTAACATCTTTCAGTAGTTCCTATCACCTTCCCAATAAAACAAGACAAATAAGGTCCTTCATAAATCTGGTCTTTACCAATCTCTCCAGTCTCATCTCTTACCACTTTCCCTCAAGGCACCTCAAACACTTTCCGTATCAAACTACCTGTACTTGCTTGCATAAACCACAATCTCTTTCCACAGTATCTGCGATCCTTCTACCTGGAGCAGCCTTTCTCCTCTTCTTTTCCATCAGATAACTCTTACTTATCTTTCCATTCAATCATCACCCTCCGTGGAAGACTTCCATTATCCTGCGGGCTGGGTGAGTCTTCCTCTGTATTCTCACTACAATTTCCAGTGCACAGGCTAACTACACCACCCATTCTGCTAACTTATAATTGTTTATCTGCCTGGGTCTTCCCACCTGACCATGAACT